AGGAGGCATAGTCCCTGTGTATATTTTTTGAGGTAGATAGATTTTTGATCAGTCGGGGAATCAGGATTCACAGGGAAATGGCAGGAAAGTGGACGTGCGGAGTGTCGGATCAGCCATGATCCTATTGAATGGTGGAGCAGGTTCAAGGGGCCGAATGGCCTAAATCTTTTCCTATTCCTTTTGGTCAACATTGTTCCATAGCCCTGGAAAGCCCTTAAAAAAGAATGAAACTAACCAAAGCGAGTGAAGTGTAAAGTACAAACGTTGTGCCAGGTTGTTACTTAGACTACTGAGTGTATTCTGTTTGCTGTACTATAAAAGAATATAAATGCACTAGAGGGGGTTCAGAGAAAATTTACAAGGATGATCTCAGAAATGTGAGAGCTTATATGTCAGAAAAGATTCAACAAGCTGGACATTTTTTGTCTTGACAAAAGAAAGCTGAGAGATAATTTAATAAATGTCTTTAAAATGATGATAGCATGGATACAGACAAGAATATTCCCTCTTACAGAGAACATACAAACATACAAATGAGAAGCAAGAGTAGGCCAATTGTCCACTCGAATCTGCTTCATCAATCGACAAGATCATGGCTGAACTGATTACTCAATATTCCCCACTACCCCAGTATCCTTTCACTTCCCTTTGCTCATCAAGAGTTTATCTACCTTTGCCTCAAAAATGTTCGAATACTCTACTTCCACTGCCTTTGAGGAAGAGAGTTTCAAAGACTTACAATCCTTTTTGAGAAAGAAATTCTCCTCATCCTGGTCTTATACAGTTAATGGTAGAACCCTGGGGAGTGTTGACAAAAAAGAGACCTAGGGGTGCAGGTGTATAGTTCCTTGAAAGTGGAATCGCAGATAAACATGGTGGTGAATAAGGCATTTGGCACACTTGACTTCATTGCTCAGACCATTGAGTGTAGGAGCTGGGATGTCATGTTGCTGCTGTACAGGACATTGTTGAGAGATAGTAGGAACTGCAGATGCTGGAGAATCTGAGATAACAAGGTGTAGAGCTGGATGAACACAGCAGGCCAAGCAGCATCATAGGAGCAGGAAGGCTGACGTTTTGGGCCTAGACCCTTCTTCAGAAATGGGGGAAGGGAAGGCTGTTCTGAAATAAATTGGGAGAGAGGGGGAGGCAGATAGAAGATGGATAAAGGAGGAGATAGGTGGAGAGGAGACAGACAGGTCAAAGAGGCGGGGATGGAGCCAGTAAAGGTGAGTGTAGGTGGGGAGTTAGGAAGGGGATAGGTCAGTCCAGGGAGGACGGACAGGTCAAGGGGGTGGATTGAGGCTAGTAGGTAGGAGATGGGGGTGGGGCTTGAGGTGGGAGGAGGGAATAGGTGGGAGAGAGGACAGGTTAGGGAGGCAGGGACAAGCTGGGCTGGCTTTGGGATGCGGTTGGGGGAGGGGAGATTTTGAAGCTTGTGAAGTCCACATTGATACCATTAGCTGCAGGGTTCCCAAGCGGAATATGAGGTGTTGTTCCTGCAACCTTCGGGTGGCATCGTTGTGGCACTGCAGGAGGCCCAGGATGGACATGTCGTCTTAGGAATGGGAGGGGGAGTTGAAATGGTTTGCGACTGGGAGGTGCAGTTGTTTGTTGCGAACCGAGCGTAGGTGTTCCGTAAAGTGGTCCCCAAGCCTCCACTTGGTTTCCCTGATGTAGAGGAGGCTACAACGGGAACAGCGGATACAGTATACCACGTTAGCAGATGTGCAGGTGAACATCTGCTTGATGTGGAAGGTCTTCTTGGGGCCTGGGATGGGGGTGAAAGGGGAGGTGTAGGGGCATGTGTAGCACTTCCTGCGGTTGCAGGGAAAAGTGCCAGGTGTGCTGGGACATTGTTGAGGCCACTTTTAGAATACTACTTGCAATTCTGGTCACCCTTCTACAGGAAGGATGTTGCTAAATTTGAGTGGGTGCAGAAAAGATTTACAAGGATTTTGCTGGGACTGGAGAGTTTGACTATAGGGAGAGGCTGAATAGGCTGGGTTTTTTTTCCCTGGAGCTGGTTCAAGTTTACAAAATCATGAGGGGCATGGAAAGGGTGAATAGGCATTGTCTTTTTCCTAGTTTAGGGGAGTCCAAGCTAGAGGGCATAGGTTTAAGGTGAGAGGGGCAAATTTTAGAAAGGACCTGAGGAGTACCTTTTTCAGCAGAAGGTGGTGCGTGTATAGAACGAGCTGCCAGAGGAAGTGATGAAGGTGGGTACAATTATAATATTTCATAGAGTCATAGAGTCAAACAGCACGGCAACAAATCCTTTGGTCCAACCAGTCCGTGCTGAACATAATCCCAAACTAAACTAGTCCCCCCTGCCTGCTCAGGGGCCACATCCTTCCAAACTTTTCTGTTCATGTACCTATCCAAATGTGTTTTAAATGTTGTAATTATACCCACGTCCACCACTTCCTCATGAAGTTGATTCTATACGTGAACCATCCTCTGCGTAAAAAATTTGCCCCTCATGTCTTTTTTAAATCTCCGTCCTCTCACCTTAAAAGTGTACTCCCGGTCTTGAAATTCCCCACCCTGGGGAAAAAGTATGTCAGAGAGTCACAACTACAGTCTTGGGTCTAAGACTGTTCATGCTGCTGGAGCCAGTAATCCAGAGGCATGGGCTTGCAGTTCAGACAACATCAGTTCAAGTCTGGATGGGTATATGAATAGGAAGGGTTTGGAGGGATACGGGCCAAATGCTGGCAAATGCGACTAGATCAGTTTAGGATATCTGGTCGGCACAGATGAGTTGGATCGAAGGGTCTGTTTCTGTGCGTATAACTCTATGACTCTATAGACGGGTGACCCCTTGTTATGAAACAGCAACCCTGAGTTCTGAAAGGAAAGATCCTCTCTACAACCACCTTGTCAAGACCCCTCAGTTTCATTCAAAGAAGAGTATACCCACAGGCTGTCAATATAAAATAGATCCCAAGAAATCCAGTTGGGAATTCAGAAGAAACCTCTTAACCCAAAGAACAGTGAGAATGTGAACTCCATACCACAGGAAGAGGTTGAAGCAAATAGTGATACATTTAAAGGGAATGCTGCCAAGCAAATGAGGGAGAGGGGAACAGAGGTTTATGATGATAAACTGGTATAGAACCTTGGTTAGACCACATTTGGAGCACTGTGTCTAGGTCTGGTATTCATATTGTGAAAGGAACAAAGCAACTTTGGAGATGATGCATAAAAGATGTACTGGAATGATACCTTAACTGAAGGGTCTGGATGTTTGAACAGGCTGAATCTCTTTTCTCTTGATAGAGAAGACCTGATAGGAGTCTTTAAATGATCACAATGTTTCCTGAGATCAACACAGAGAAGATGTTTCCACTTGTGGATGAAACTAGAATTAGGGACCATAAAAATAAGGTATTTACTTTACCTTTTGGATGAGAAGTTAAACTGAGGTCTTGTCTACCATGTAAAAGATCCCATGAGACCAATTTGAAGAACAAGAGAGCTCTTCCTGATCAATAATTATCCCTGAATAGGCATCACAAATAGAGGTTATCCAGTCATTATCTTATTGGTATTTGTGGGAGCTTGCTGTGTAAAAATTAGCTATTATGAATCTAGCAACAGCAGCCACACTTCAGACATACCTCCTTTGGCTGTCAAAGGGCTTGGGGCAGCCCATTGTCTGAAACAGGAGCTATATAAATACAAAGATAGTAGGAACTGCCGATGCTGGAGAATCTGAGATAACAAGGTGTAGAGCTGGATGAACACAGCAGGCCAAGCAGCATCAGAGGAGCAGGAAAGCTGACGTTTCGGGTCTGGACATATAAATACAAGCTTTTTTTTTATTTTTTTAACTAAGAAGTCCAGTAATGAGTTCAAGCGAAGTATATGGTGCAGTTGAGCCAAATTGCACATGGATAGAGTTAAGGGGTCACCATATAATCACAAGGCCAAAGAGGAAAGGAGGATACTTTTCTGGGGTAAGCTGAGGCAAGATGGTGAATCTTTGAAATTCTCTACCCCACGGGGCTGTGTTCAAGATAAATATAAATACATTTCAAGATAACATTGACATCAAGGGATATGGGATACCATGGGCAAATGGCATTGAGATGGATGATCGACCATTATTTAGAATGGTAGAACAAGTTTGAGGGGCTGAATGGTCTCATCCTGCTCCTGTGTTCTTCATTCAACTTCATCCATCAGTTAGAAGTCAGGAAGTTCAATTACTTTAAGATAATATCACATGATTTCAGCTATTGCTCTTTGAGTAGCAGTGATGACACCAGTTCCGTTCTGAAGCTGACTACTAATGTGCAGATTGGATACTGTTCTAGTCTCAATCGTCAGCAGAGTTTCCAGTTATTAAAGTTTTCTGTGAAGTGTTAGCAGCACAAGTCAAATTCTTCAACCCTCAATTTTCCTTTTCTGCCCCAAACACTTGCCATTTCCAGTTTCTGCCTCCTCAATACGCCCATGACCAGAGCTGATGATTTGTGCAGGATAGGTTGTGCCATTTGACGTGAAATTACAGAATGTGTGACAAAAGCAAATGAAATATTTGTACTACCATCACTTTAAATGTGCAAAATATTCAAAAATATCCCTGCTCCTTTCGCCATGATAAAGGCTTGGCCAATCAGAGTCAATCTGCTAGCTAGTCAGCTCCCTTGCCTCTAGTTATATAAATTGTTGTGACTGTTTGAAACTTGGCATTCTTGCATGTGCCCTGATGAGTGCAAGATGAAAGCTTTGTTTCTCTTACAATGTAATTTCTCTGTACAATGCCAAGTGCTCGGGGCTTATTATCCAACAGCCAGTGTGTTGGCTTGTGTGATTGTTTTCTGGGGTATATCAGTAACAGTATACTAAATAAAGTACAATCCAAGAGTGCATTCTGTGATCTCATCCACAGCTGCACTGATACTACAGAACTTGTGCGCATTTCATGTCCCTGTGCTCTCTTCCTGATGAATAACAAACAATCCTTTTTCATACTTTGCTATTCATTACAGCACCAGTGGAATGAACCTTCCTGAAAACTCTCTCTACAGCGCAGTGCTTAATGCAGTCTCTGTTTTATGTAAGTATGTACTGTGCAAATAAAACTCATTCAGAATGGCTTTTTAAATTTGGCTTTTTTATTCAAGATTTGATTTGATGAAGCAATGGGTTGCCATTGTTAGAGGTATGCTGATTTAGAATTGGTTGCAATAGTAAAGTGTTGCTTTCTCATTGAATGATAGCAGTGGAGGGGCTTTGCCAGGGACAAACTCATTCTCACAGCTAAATTGATGCTGGATAATTCCACGTCAGAACATTCTTAATCTCCAGGTAAACACTAAATTGGGAAGGGCCACATTGCAGAGTGGTGCTTTGCCCCTACTTTTGCAACAATTTCATTGAATCCCTACAGTGTGGAAGCACTTCAAGTTCACATCAACCCTCCAAAGAGCATCCCCCATCGCTGTAACCCTGCATTTCCCATGGCTAATCCACCTAGCCTGCACATCTTTGGACTGTGGGAGGAAACCAAGCACCCGGAGGAAACCCACCCAGACACGGGGAGAATATGTAAACTCCACAAAGACAGTCACCCAAGAGTAGAATCAAACCCATGTCCCTGGTGCTGTGAGGTAGCAGTGCTAACCACTGAACCACCATGCCATGCCAATATCGCACATTATCTTTCAGGCTGGAGTCAGAGCGAACTCAGCTCTCAATTTGTTAGAGGGAGATTTTGCTAATTTGAGTTTTTTGATATTGATGATGGTAGTGCAGTGGATGTGGTTTACATAGACTTCAGTAAGGCCTTTGACAAGGTTATAAAAGACTGGTCTGAAGCTGGCCCTTGGCATCCAAAGCAAACTGGATCTGAAATTGACTTGCAAATCAAAGGTAAAGGGTGATGGTGGAGGGTTGTTTTTGTGATTGGAAGCCTGAGACCAGTGGTGTACCACATTGATCAGTGTTGGGATTTTTTTAATGTACATTAATGACTTCAATGTGAATGTAGAAGGTATAATTAGTAAGTTTGCAGATGACGTGAAAATTGATGGTGTTGTTGACAGTGAGGAGATGGTCTCAGGCTACAGTCTGATATTGATCAGCTGGTAAATTTGACAGAGCAATGGCAAATGGAATTTAATCTCAATAAGTGTGAGATGATGCATTTTGGGAAGTCTAAAAAGGGAATGATTTACACAATGAATGGTAGGTCCGTAGGGAGTACTGAGGAACAAAGGTATCTTGGTGTACAAATCTATAGATCCCTGAAGGTGTCGGCACAGGTAGACATGCTGGTGAAGAAGGAATACAGAATGCTTGCTTTCATCACCTGAGCTGTAGAATATAAGAACAAGGAAATCTTGTTACAACATTATAAAACATTGGTTAGGACACAGATGGAATTCTGTGTGCAGTTCTGTTTGCTGCACTTTTTGAAGGATGTGATTGCACTGGAGAGAGTGCAAGGAAATCCACCAGGATGTTGCCTGGAATGAAAAGTCTCCGTCATGATGAGAAACTGGATAGGCTGGGTTTGGTTTCCCTGGAACGGAGGAGGCTGAGGAGGAATCTGATTGAGGTATACAAAATTCTGAGAGACGTAGACAGAGTAGATCGTGAGAACCTTTCCCCCATAGCTGATGTGTCTAATACCAGAGGGCACAGGTTTAAGGTGCAGAATAAATGGTTTAGAGGAACTTGGAGAAAAATATTCTCACACAGAGGTTGGTTGAAATTTGGAATGTGCAGTCTGAGAGGCTGATGGAGTACTGTCACAACATTTAAGAAGCATCTGGATGTGCCCTTAAAATGCCAAGGCATGGTAGGCTATGGACCAAGTGTGGGTAAATGGGATCAATGCAGTTTGGTGTTTGTTGGGCAGCATAGACGTAGTGGGCTGAGGGCCTTTTTCTATGCTGTATGACTCTATAACTCTATGACAAACTGATGGCAGAAAGATTTTCATTCTCTCTGGCGTAAGGGCTGTTTATTAAACTGTTTCAGGTAGCCTCAGTCTATTCACGATTGATCTGTTCCAAAATCCAAAGGCATACCAAATGTGGTGCCAATTGGCATAAGATATTGGTATTCTCAATTAACAAGAAAAAAAGACTTGCTCATGCAGAGAATATAGCTCTCACTCCGATGCCATGGGAAGTACCATTCTGTGGAGTAAAAGAAGTTTTGGTCTGGTCTGCTGTACTATTCAATATGATCATGACTGCCTTTCTGCCTTGATTTTATCTTCCTGCGCTATTCCACACATCTTGATTCCTTTGCTATTTGAAAATCTGCCTTTGTCTCGTATATAATTCATGACTGAGCACCACAATTCTCTGCAGAGAATTCCAAAGATTCACAACTCTTCGAGTGAAGAAATTTCTCCTCATCTCAGTCCTAAAGGCAAGATGTTTGTTCTGAGACAGTGTCCATACATTCAAGACCACCACCAGCCAAGGAAAACTACTTCCCAGTGCCAGTCAAAGAATTTCATGTTTCAATGAAATCACCAATCATTTTTCTAAACTCCAGCAAATATAGGCTTTATCTACTCAATGTCACCTCATGGGACAATCCCCTCAGCCCAGGAATGAGGTTGTGAACCCTCATTGCACTCATTCAAAAGCATATATGTCTTTCCTTAAGTGAGGAGATAAAATATGTAATTCATCAGATGTAGTGTCACCAAACCCCTTTGTAACTGTAGTAGGACTTCATCTTATGTTCCATGTCTTTCAGAATAACAACCACCAAACTGTTTGCTGTCCTAATTTTAATCTGCTGGTCGACTTCCTGTGATTCACATAATGTTCAAATTTGCAAGGTGGGATTCAATCCCTAAATTTCCTGGATCATTAGCAGCTTCTGGTTTGATCTAGCACCATCACCACTGTACCACCAGGTCTGATAATGACATGTCAAGGAGATACACTGGAAGACACTTTGAAAGGTGTCGGATCCAGAGGGCATGAGAAACTGATTAGATGGAGATGCTCCCAAGCACTGGGACTACTTCCACTGGAGCAGGGAAAGTTAAGAGAAGATTTCATGGATTTTTCTGAAGGATTTTGAGAGGGAAACAAGGGGAGAAAGCAATTCTAGGGAAACTCAGTGATGCAAGTTTGAACTTGCTACCAGAGTGAGAAGTTATTTTAGGTAGAATTTCTTTACTGGAGAGTCATTGCACATACACATAGAAATGTGTAGGGGTTGCAGCTCAGAAACCAATAATTAGTCCAACTAGAGATAGTAGGAACTGCAGATGCTGGAGAATCTGAGATAACAAGGTGTAGAGCTGGATGAACACAGCAGGCCAAGCAGCATCATAGGAGCAGGAAAGCTGACGTTTCGGGCCTAGACCCTTCATCATTTCTGATGAAGTCCAACTAGTTTGTTTTGGCACTAATGATCCATTGAGTTGGTTTATTAGAACATACAATGGTTTGTCACAGTTGAAACAGATGTCATCACCTCATTTAAAGGAATAATGCCTGAATATTTGACCCAAATGTCACTACAGAGTAATTAGGTTGCCCAAGCAAAGTGATAGGTTGAATATCCTCCCTCGGTGCTGTAAACTTCAATGAACATAGAACATAGAACATAGAACATTACAGCGCAGTACAGGCCCTTCGGCCCTCGATGTTGCACCGACCTGTGAAACCAATCTGAAGCCCATCTAACCTAAACTAAATGGATCCAACTGTTGTCAAATTTGCAAGAAGTAAGTACACGAGGCAGCATCTGATAAATGGTGTGAATTTAGGGAGAGTAGCCCATTTGTTAATCTGCTCCATGCTCTCATTCTTCCAGTTGCTTTGGTGTGCATTTTCCGACACGCTCAGATAGTGGAACGGAAAGTAGACGAGGCTCTGCTGAGTAAGGCTGCTATGATTATAGGCTTCTTTGGCTCCATAGGAGGCTTCATCGCTGGAAACTGTAATGTAAGTGCTTGTGTCTGTGATGGGACTACAGATGGTTCATTGCAGGGTGAGAATGATAAGCTCTATTCAGGGTGGCCACCCTACTGAGGAGCTAGATTATGAACCCACGTTTTTCACCTCTTAACGTAGGCAGTTGATATATTCAAAAGATTGTAGAATAATAGAATCACTACAGTGTGGAAGCAGGCCATTAGGCCCATCAAGTCCACACTGACCCTCCGAAGAGCATCCTATCCAGAGTGACCCCCCTACCCTATCTCTGTAACCTTGCATTTCCCATGACTAATCCACTTAGCCTGCATATTCTTGGACACTATGGGCAATTTAGCATTGGCCAATCCACCTAACCTACATATTTTTGGACTCTGGATTGCTGCTGGCATTTGGCTTCCTTTAGTAAAAGGGAGTCAGTGATTGGGGTTTAACATTGGGAGAATAGAGCATTTGTTTCTATTTATTTGCTGGTACTGTGTTGTCCAGTATGTTAACCATGTTGGAGAACTAATGAAAAACTAATAATTGACACTGTCATATTGTCTGTGATTTCAATACTTCTTGCAAATTGTATGCATACCTTTTTGAACCTTTTAATGTGTTTGTTACTAAAATGTGTGAGTGTTTTTCCATTGTCAGAGGATAAAACCTGCTGGACCTTGTTCTCACCAATTCATCAGTTGCAGATGCATGTGTCTGTGTAGGAGTGATCACCATACAATTTCCTATGGAGACAAAGTCCTGTCTTCACATTGAGGGTCCGTTCCATTGCTTTGCGTGGTACCGCTGATGTGTTCAGTGGGATAGATTCAGAACGGATCTAGCAGCTCCAAACCGGCTACCACAAATATCTGTAGGCCATCAGCAGCTGTAGAATTTATTCAAATAAATTTGTAACCTCACAGCTGGCATTTCCCCCAACTCTATCATTGCCATCAAGCCAGGGGATCAACCCTGCTTCAATGGAGAGTGCAGGATGGCATACCAGGCACATCTAAAAAATGAGGAATTAACCTGGTGAAGCTACAGCTAAGGCATCTGCCTAGCAATGTAAAACAGCAGAAGCAGCATTTGATAGACAAGGTTAATTGATCCTACAACCAAAGGATCAGATCTAAGCTCTACAGCCCTACCATATTCAGTTGTGATTGCTGGTGAACTATTAAACAAATAACAGGAGGAAGTGGGTCCACAAATATCTCCATCTTCAATGATGGGAGAGGCCAGCACATCAGTGTAAAAAGGAAGCTAGAAGCGTTGAGTGCATGTTCCATCTTAGCCTCCTCCTGAGGTCCCAGCATCACAGATGCCACTCTTCAGCCAAGTTGATTCACTCCATGTGATACAAAGAAGGTGCTGGAAGGCTATGGGCTCTGATAATGGTGTTGAGGACTCATGCACGGAACCAACTCAACTCTTCCAATACAACTTCAACATTGTCATGTACCCAACAATGTGGAAAGTTGCCCAAGTTTGTCCTGTTCAAAAAAAGCAGGACAAATCTAATTTCTGCCTGTTGAGTCTACACTTGATTATCATCAGTGATGGAAGGGTTGGTCAGCAGTGCTATCAAGCACCAATTGCCCAGCTGCAACCTGCTCACTGATGCTCAGTTTGAATTCTACCAGGGCCACTTGGCTACTGACCTCATTATAGCCCGCATTGAAACATGGAGAAAAGAACTGAGCTCTAGAGGGAAAGTGAGAGTGATTATTGTTTCCATCAGATAACATTTGTCGAAGTGTGGCACCAAGGGGCCCTGGCAAAATTGAATAGGAATCAGGACAAAACCGAGTCATACCTGGCACAAAGGGAGAGGGACCTTGTTACAAACAAACATAGCAGTAGGAGTAGATCACTCAGCCCCTTTCATAAGAGCAGGATGATCTGACTGTTGCCTCTACTCCATATTATGACCTACCCCAGATAAACTTTGATAACTTTGTTGGAGGCCCATCATCTCAGTCACACGACATCACTGCAGGAGTTCATCAGGGGAGTATCCCAGGTTCAATTAGTTCATCGATAATCCACCTTTCATCATAAGGTCAGAAAAGGTGATGTTCTCTGATGATTGTACAATTCGCGATTCCTCAGATATTGAAGCCGTCTGTATCCATATACAATAAGACCAGGACAATATCCGAGTTTGGGCTGACAAGTGGCATGTACCATCCATGCCACAGCAGTGCTAAGCAATTTCCATCTGCAACAAGAGAGAATTTAACCATGACCCCCTGCCTTTCAATGGCATCACCAATACTGAATCCCCACAATCCTGGGGATTATCATTGATCAGAAACTGAACTGGACTAGTCATTATAAATACTGAGGCTGCAAAAGCAAATCAGAAACTGAGACCTCACCTTCTGACTTCCAATGTATGCCCACCACATACAAGGCATACGTCATCATATTCTCACCACTTGCCTGCAGAGGTGCAGCTCAAATGACCCTCAGGAATGTTGAAACCAACCAGAACAAATCAACTCACGTGACTGGCAAGAGAAGCTGGCCCTACCGGTCACACATCTTGTGAAAGAATAAAATGACACTTGCTGTGTACTTCCTGAAGTTCTGCACTTCCTGAAGTTCTTCCTCCAACTCCCCCTGCATCTTTTTCCTAAAATCTTCAATCTCTGTCCCCTTATCCTTGTACCATCAGATGGTGGGAACAGCTTTCCTTACCTAACCTTATCTGTCACAACCTGTACACCTCAATCAAGGTGTCCCTCAATCCCCTTTGCTCTAAAAACTAAAAGCCCAATTTCTCTAACCTAACCTTTCAACTAACATCTCTCGTCATTGGAGCAATTGTGGCAATTCACCTCTGCTGTGAGTGTTTTTCTTCCTTGGTTAATGAATAGAGGTTAGTGCTTGTTTTGTGATTATAGACGTGTGAATTATATTCATCTGTTTGCATGTGACTGCCTGTTTGTGTGAGCATGTGCATGTACGTGTGTGAAACTCTGCCTGTCTTTCTATGTGTGTGTGTGTGTGTGTGTGCGCGCGTGTGTGTGTGCGTGTGTGTGTGTGTGCATCTGTGACTCTTCCTGTTTGTATGTGAGTGAGTGACTCAATCTGTCTGGGTGTGCGTTTGTGTATCTGTGAGTGTGAATCTGAGAGTGTGAGTGTCTGTGTATTTGTGAGAATATGTGTGTGTGAGAAAGTGTGAAAGTGTGTGAGTCTGTGTCTGTGTGTGTGTCTGTGTGTGTGTGTCTGTGTCTGACTGTGTGTGAGTCAGTGTGTATGTGTGTGTGTGAAAGAGTTTTTCTGTGTATGTCTGTGTGTGTGTGTGTGTCTGTGTGCGTATCTGTGTGCGTGTGTGTGTGTCTGTGTGCGTGTGTGTGTCTGTGTGTGTGTGTGTCTGTGTGTGTGTGTGTGTGTGTGTGTGTGTGTGTGTTATTTAGTGATTGAAATGGTGTTACCATTCCCTCACCTGTAGCTAGTCAGAAATTTCTATTAGCTAACACTGTGCTGTTACTCATTCTACAAACTGCTGGTTTCAGGCATTTTCCTGGTTGTAGAGGAAGAACTGATCAGGGAGGCCCTGGGACCATTTCTCCAAAGTACTCGGGCTGCACTGTACGGACTTAGTTGTCCCTGGTTTAAAGACTTCTACCAATAAAATGGGTGGGAAGTGGAGTAAATGGAAATTCTGAAGGGCAGGTTGTCGGGGGGCTGTGGTCTATGAATATCGAGAGGAGGGGATTGGGATTGCAATTGGGAATGGCAGAGATCAACATGATGAATAATGAGAAAGTGGAAATGGGATGGGAAGGGCTTGAATGATGACAAAGGATGGGGCATGGGCAGGATGGAAGGTGAGGGGTTGGTCAGATGAACGGTACTTGACAAATTCTTTTCTTTCATTAGCTCAACGCAACTTAACAGTAAGTCACTTCTTCTAGGATTTGCTGCAATCGCCACTTTGTGCATTGGTGATATTTACTTTGGATTTGAATACATTGTATTGGTAATGAAATGACATATTTGGCTGCCCTAACATGAGTTGCTTCTCTTCCAGCCATCGGTTCTCATGGTGCTACACTACTTTGGAGCCACACTGTGTTTTGTCAGTGGTTGCATTTATACCATTTTACAGACAGCGTTAACATTCAGGCTCCACTTGACAGGGAAGGAGTGCTTCTTGGCGCCTCTACGTGCAGTTCTGACCATTTTCCAAGTGGTCTTCTCTATTTGCTGTATCCTTCATTGGTCTTGGCTGTCCATGTTTGAGGTTGCTTTCTAGTACTGCTTCCAGCCACTACGTAGAACAACAGAGAGAGGTTCTGGAGAGCGTGTTTCTAAAGAATCATGAACATGAATCATGAGACTTTTCAGCCTATTGCCCATTATAACTCTCTGAAAGAGCCGGCCAATTACAAGTCCTGCTCCTTCCATATAATTCATTTTTCTTTTCTTTGAAAACAGATTCTCCCAGCTCTTGTCATGATCTCCCATTCTTCAATTGATTTGTCTCATTTGTCCCATGTAGGCCTGGAAGGAGAAATAAAACTATCTGCGATTGTCAGTGCTGCTAGGCTGTAGTTGTACACGGACGGCAGATCAGGATAGGGCTGCGTTTAACTGGAACAAAAACAGAAGTTGCTGGAAAAGCTCAGCAGGTCTGGCAGCATCTGTAAAGAAAGAAATCAGAGTTGACGTTTCAAGTCCGTTGACCCTTCCTCAGAACTGAAGGACCACCGGACTTGAAACATTAACTCTGATTTTTTTCTTCACAGACGCTGCCAGACCTGCTGAGCTTTTCCAGCAACTTCTGTTTTTGTTCCTGATTTACAGCAACTGCTGTTCTTTCAGTTTTTACAATGTGTTTAACTGTGATGCTTCCTTTGGTGGAATAGCTCCCTGACTATCACAGTTGATGCTCAGTCCCAATCCCATTTACCAGTTGCTTCCAGCGGCAGAATCGGTCAAATTCACAGAGAGGGTTTGGCAGCAGCAGGACACACACAAAGCTACCGGCTTCATTCAAGTGGGGACTGGGGAGACTGCCAACAGAGGGAGTAAACACTCAGGATTCACCCAGCTTCCTTATGGGAATGCCGATGCAAAATGATTGAGAATTTGGAATTAGAAATGCTCGATTGGCAGATTCAAAGAATGACAAGAGGACAGGGAGCAAGGGAAGGAGATAGGAGGGGAAGAGAAAGAAGAGATGAAAAGAGAAGGGGAGGAAGAGGAAAGAAGAACCAAGGATGGGAGGAGGAGATAGAGGAGGGGAGAGGAGCAATGAGGAGAAGGAAGGGGAAGGTGATGAGACAAAATGAGAGGAGATGGGCAAGGAGGAGGTAAAAGAATGGGAAGGAGAGGGGGAAGAGAAGTGAGAGGCAGAGAAGAAGAGACAAGGAGATCAGAGATAGTGCATTCTTGATCATAGCAACTCAATTAGTTACATCAAATTCCTCTTTCTCTTTCCTCTGGGCCAAGGGGCAGGTCAACCAGAGACATTTTCACATGAATGAGATACTCTGATACAAGGACAAGTGTAGAGCTCAGTTGTGTATATATCAATGTCAGAGCATGACCAAATCTCAGAAGAGTGAGGAATGTGTCCCCCAGTGACTGGACCATGGAGATCTCTTCAATGGAAATGGAGTGGGTCGAGGAATTGTGCGATGAGGGAGGGAGGGAGATACTGGTGCTTACTCTTCAACAATAAATCAGCCCTTTGTTGCGATTTATCCTTAACTCTGCTCCAGATTTGGCCTTTTTTGTCCATCCAGACACCAAGAAACAACACATAGGAGCCATCTGTGAATGGATCTTGGCCACAAATTTCTACGTCTTTATCATGTCATTTTCTTTCGAATTTTATTATATAACCTCAGCAGTGCTCTATGCATTGATTAGTAGACCTGATGATGAGAAGGTCGCAATTCTGTCTGAACCCAGAGGTACAAATATGGCCACATTCGATAAATGACGTACGGATCGCCAAGTGCAGACACGCCGCAGGATTACAGGCTGTTGGAATCACCCCATTCTCTGCATTACTTATATTATGTCGCGTAAATCTCTTTATCTGTATCAAAATGTTTCTTCTCCTTTGGAACCCACAGGTTGGTTTTTTTAATGTTTCTTAGCGAAGTCAGTTAGCACATTGTGAACCTTTGCGGGGAGCATCACTGCCCCCATATCCCTCCGAGTGCCACAGCTACCCAGCTACAAAGTGACAAGACAAGGCTGAAGCCTTTGAATGTCGAGTTTCCACTTATCATTGTGTCCGCCATAGGCGTTCCTAGTATTCATCACATGAGATATCTCTGGCCCTCCTGCCTCATTGTCCTCCAGCTACTCTACAAAGCGTCAAGGCCTAGGTAACGGTGAGCCTTTCTCACTAACTATTGGCTTTGGTCAATCTGAGGACAGCCTGGGAAGGAAAGGCCTAAAGAAGGTGAGTCAGACCTTTCTCTCTTTCAGCCAACTCCTGGATCCTTGGCTCGTTTGTGGTCAGTGGCAGCCAGAAGTCAGGGAGTCAGGCTTCAGGCCTACAGCTGATTTTGTAATCCCAGCCCTGCAAGGCCCTGCCACTGGGTGAGCTTGTGCTGGGGGTGTCTGTGGTGCACGAGCTGGACCTGACAAACAGGCCGAACACAGTTAAAATGTCTGGGGGGAAGTCAGTATCCCTTCTATCTGCCATGGATTTACACTGGGTGCCTCGGGAGAGAGGATAGCCAGTGCAACTAACAAGCAAAGCAGTTTCTCAGGGAAGTGTCAGCAGCCACGTGCAGCCTGCAGTGGATCCACAATTGGGGCCCAGCTCCCTGCCTTGCCTGACTGGAATCTCTGGACCTTTTCATGAGTTTCAGGGGAGGATTTGGCCCAAATGACACAGGAGCTTCCATTTGGAGATGGATTTATGAAAGTAAATATTGTAAAACACTTCCTTAATTGTCGGACTGGGGTCTGATTAAGTTGCAATTCAATTAATGGAGGGGGGAGGGAAAGGGACCTGTCTCTTCGAGGGGAAGGGGATTTAGGGTAGCACAGCTGCAGCAACCTACCCAGGTATCCAGCTTCTTCACTGATGTACAGGTTGACCACTCCCTTTAGTGCAGAAAAGGTGGCGTTAGGCATTTTTGAAAATCGATAATATGTTGTTGTAGAATCTCACAGCACAGATGGAGGCCATTAGGCCCATTGTGGTTGTGCTCTCTCTTTGAAAAAGCCAATCAGCTAGTTCCTCACCTCTCTTGTTACCCATACCCCGTATTTTGTTTCCCCTTGTACTGTTTGGATATTTTCCTAATCAATCTGTTATGTACTTCTGGAGTAGTTAGGACTTAAACCCAGGTCTCCTGGCTTAGAGATAGGGTCCCTACTACTGTACCGCAAGAACCCCTACTTTTGTTGCATTTATTAAATTCCCTTTTGTAAGGTGCAGTTGAATCTCCAATCAGGCACTGTATTGCAGATCACAACTCCTCACTGCGTTAAAAAACAAAATCCTCATGTCTCCTCTGCTTCTTTTGCGGAGCACCTTAAATCATTGATTGTGTTCTTCCCCATTGCTCTGTTGGAGCTGCTGTTTCTGCAGACCCTACCTCAACAGAAGGTGAGATGTGACTGACCTCTTTATGAAGCCCCTTGTGCCAAAATTGTACTTTTCCTGTCAGACACAGAAGATTAAAAATGGATGTCACTGTTTTTGGGCCTATTTTCCAGATAGTTTGTGTTTTACTTTATTCAGCAGGAGAATGGACAACATACTGTATTTAGTTCTGCATTAATTTTTAACATTCCAGACTGTTAGAAATAAATTCAGTAAATCAAAGAAGCCTAGTGTTTTTGACACTGACCTCAATCGTTTTGCTGTTATATTGTTGAATGCAGTACACTCCAAATGTGTTACCTTCCTTCACAATAATGTTGATGACTTTTGGTTCTCTGCTTTTGTCTGTTACATGATTCTTACTCTCCAGTCAACACAAATTAAAACATCTCCTAGGAATAAAGAGTTGGGGTTTTGAAAGTTTGAGAATATCCTCACCTTGCATTGATACAGGTGTGTTCTCAGGAGCAGGCACTCTTACCTCAGAGCTTGAGGTTCAAGGGTTCAAACCCAACTCTTTAGCACAAAATCAAGTCTGGCATTCCAGTGCAATGATGTAGAGGTGTCAGTGTTGGACTGGGGTGGACAAAGCAGGAAGTCACATAATACGAGGTTCATGTGAAATCACAAGTTTTCAGAGTGCTGCTACTTCATTAGATGAAATGACTTCATAGAACCCCTACAGGCCATTCAGCCCATTGAGTCATACTGGCTTTCCAAAGAGCATCCCAACCAGACCCACCCCATCCCTGTAGCCCTGCATTTCCCATGGCTAACCCACCTAGGCTGCACATCCCTGCACACTATGGGCAATTTAGCTTGGCCAATCCACCAAACCTGTGCATCTTTAGACTGTGGGAGCAAATTCATGCAGACACAGGGAGAACATGCAAACTCCACATAGACAGTTGCCCGAGAGTGGGATCAAACCCATGTCCCTGGCACTGTGAAGCAGCAGTGCTAACCACTGTGCCACCCCACATGTTGGATGTGCCTTTGTGTGGATGAGGTGTTAACTCAAAGCTCTGTCTACCACCTTAGGTAAAAGATCCTGTGGCAGTATTTGAGGAACAGCAGGACAATTATCCCCAGTGTCCTGGTTGCTGTTCAGTTCTCAACTAATCATTAATGCAGTTTCTCCCATCACTCTTGCATTAATAGTTATGGAAACTTGCTGTGCTTAAATTGGCTGCCATGGTTCCCATATTAAAATGGTGACTGCACTTGAGGTGGCTGCAAAGCATTTCAAGGATGACCTATAATCATGCAGGTGCTTTATAAATGCAGGTAGTTTGTTTCTAGCTTCAGGAGCAATGTTAATAGCAGGCTTTGACCAGACTCGAGATTAGAAGCAATAATTAGGTTGCTTGCTACATTGAGAGAACATGCATTATCTGGATCCAAGGGAAGATAGGTCTAGTGAGTGTCAAGTTTGGTAATAGCTTAGCCGTTCCACAGGTAGGCACCCACAGCCCTTCTGGGCTCTCTGGCTATATTGCCAGTCCATGAGTTGAGTCTAACATCACCACTGGTGTTCTATATAAATTATTCAAACCCAGTTTACTCATTTCAAAAGGATCCAGCACTTGACTGAGAGAGATGGCAGGAGCACCTGGCACTAGCTTCATGGGAAGGTGGCACGTGGTCATTGGGAATGGGGTAGACATCATGACCTCCCCATTTCTGGGAGTCTGTCATCCATCTTTCCACCAGACAAGAGGCCTCAAAATCTCTTTTCCCAGTCACCTCTTTGCCACAATGATATCACTAACCAATAAGGCCATGGGTTGCTTTATCTTTCTTTCTCATGGGCTGTGGGCATTCCTGGCAAAGCCAGTATTTGAAGCCTGTCTCCGATTGCTCTTGAACTGAGTCGCTTGCAAAGACAATTTCATAGAAACATAGAAAACAGGAGCAAAAAAAGACCATTCGGCCCTTTGAGCCTGCTGCACTACTCAATATGATCACGGCTGAACATCCAGCTCAGTGCCCTGTTCCTATTTTCTCCCCACAGCCTTTAATCCCTTTATCCTTAAGAGTTATATCTAACTCCCTCTTGAAAACATTCAATGTTTTAGCCTCAACCGCTTTCTCCGCCAAAGAATTCCACAGACTCCCCGCTCTCTGGGTGAAGAACGGCAGTCAGGAGTCAGCCACATTGCTGTGGGTCTGGAGTCACATGGAGGCCAGACCAGGTAAGGATGGCAGATTTCCTTCTCTAAAGGGCATTAGTGAACCAGATGCAATCTTTGATCATTGACTGGTCATCATTACTGAGACTGGCTTTCAATTCCAGAATTTTATTATTTGAATTGAAATATCAATTGAAATAAGTGAGCTTTTGTCCATACAGTACAATTAGCCTGGACTTTTGCATTAGCAGTGCCATGAGTTTATAACAGCACCACTGTCTTCTCTGAAGTGGCCTGGATCTTCTCAAGGGCATTTAGGGATGGACAATAAATGCTGTCCGTACTATCAGGTACCCCACCCCAAGAAAGAAAACATCTTTAAAAAAAGAACCATGATTTTGATTGAGATGATGCACTTCATATCTTCAGGACTTTGCAGCCAATGTAGATTTTTTTTTCCGAAGTATGGTCACTTTTGTAGGAAAATGCATTCAAAAGACATTTTTTAGTGTTTGTTGGTTGAGGGCATCACTGGCTAGGCCGGCATTTATTGCCCAGAGCGCATTTTAAGACCAGGTAAGGATGGCAGATTTCCTTGCCATAAAGGAACCAAATGGGTTTTTCCTCCAACAATTGGTTCATGGCCTTTAGACTCATAATTCCAAATTTGGCCCTTTCTCCCCCATTGAATTCAAATTCTACCTTCTGCCATGGCAAGATTTGAACCCAGGTCCCCCATATTAATAGTCAAGCGATAATACCACTAGGCCATTACCGCCCCTGAAAACAGACAGTGAGAGAAACTGAGAAGAATGTAACATAAAAGTGCAGCAGATGCTGGAAATCTGAAACAAAGACAGAAAATGCTGGAGAAACTCAGCAAGTCTGGCAGCACCTGCGGAGAGAGAGAGAGAAACAGAGGTAATAATGATCGGGTAATCTTCTTTATTTCAGTGATGTTGCTTCTGGGATAAATATTGATCAGGGTGCCATTAAAGGATTCCCCAGCTCTTCTTTAAAATGGTCTCTCTGGCTGTTTTATGTCAATCCAGGACAATCTGGAAGGTTTTCCAATCCAGTGAATCCCAGAATCACAGATTTACTAAGGAGGTAATTCAGCCCATCATGTCTACACTGGCTCTTCAAATGAGCATCATTACCTAGTGCCAATCTCCTGCTTTTACTCCATGCCCTTACTGCACTATTTCTATCCAAATCATTACAAAAATACTGCAATTGAACTTGCCTCCACTATATTTCCAGGCAGTGCATTCCAGGCCCTAAGAATTCACTGAGTGAGAAAGTTTTTCTCTCACATCACCTTTGCTTAATATGCTTTTCACTTTAAATCCTATCTACTCTATACAGCCCACTCATCATTTTGAAAACCTTCATCAAATCTCCTTTCAGCCTTCTTGTCTCCAAGGAAAGCTGTCCCAACATGTATCCTCATAACTGAAGCTTCTCATCCCTGGGACCATTCTTGTAAATCACTTCTGCACTCTCTCTCCAATGCATTCTCACCATTCCTATAATATGGCGCCCACAACTGTACACAATATTCCAGCTGAGGTCTCCAATTGATGAGATATTTCAAAAATGATATCAAACAATTCCTTTGCAAATTAGATGCAAGAAGGAAACAGTATTGACTGAAGCAGTGAAGATCGAGTGCACGCCTCTCTTCACTGCCCCATGTCATTTCCCTTTGCAAGCATCCTCCCACTGCCTGTTTCTGGTAATATGTGTGACTTTGGAAAAACATGACGGCAATGAATTAAGATGCAAGATTGTGAAAAGTCCTCGGCTGTTTGCAAAGCAGTGTATTTCAGCAAAGCCACTGTCCAAAGTCAAAGGCAATCTCATCAGGAAGTGTTTAGCAACATTCCACAGGGGCATCTGCCCTGTGTTTGCACAATGCTCATGTCAGTATTTCTTCAGGCTGCTGCGGGTCTGATTAGTTTTGTAAACCTCAGAACAGTGTTCTAGCACAACCAGTGTGATCATTTCCAAGTATTACTGTTCTTTAACTGTTTAATTTCTCTGCAAGTTACCTCTGTGATTTTACATTGCAAAGCCCCCTGCTATGACCCAAGGGAGACAGGGTGAATGGCTCCTGTCTGTTCAATCTCCTTGAGCTGGTCACAATAAAGGTTTAGGTTCTTTTGCCAGTTGGCTGACCAACAGATTTGCATCATAGAGTGATGCCAATAGCATGGTGTCAATTCCCACACCAACTAAGGTTACCATACAGGAGTCTCCTTATCAACCACTTACCCTCACCTGGAGCATGGCAACCCTCAGGTTAAACCTCCACCAGTCATCTCTCTCAGTAGAGAGAGCAGCCCGATGGTCTGGTAAGACTATGGCAATTTTACTTTTACCTCTCAGTAATTGAAAACATAGTTAACTATTTTTGCTCTGAGCAATGAAGACCCAATCAACAAGGTTCTCTTGCGTCAAAGTAAAAAAAACATATTTATTAACTGATTAGTAACTTGAGGAAAGTACTAAAAATGTGCCATTAAGCACACAGCCTTCACACAATCAGTTGGGTGCATACAAACACATACACACACACTTACACAAAGTTAAAGGGAAATAGTGTCCAATTCAAAGGAAAATTTCAGAAAAGCATTGTTTGGAATCCTCAGGTTGTCTCTGAGGTATAAGCTTTGAACCTGAGACTGATGTTGATTCGTTGATGCAGGCTTGATTGCAGTCAATCAGAGCAAATGTTGCAGTTATTGAAAATTCTCAGATCTTTGATGACTTTTCTCTCTACCTGTTTTTGCGGGAACCCGGCATCAGCTTCTTCACAGAGAGCAAATGGAGACAACAGCATCTCTTCAATGACCTCCCAAAATGCTCTCAGATCCTCCCTTGATATACTGGTTTCCATGTGTATCTCCAAGAGGATCTTTTGGAGGGCCTGTTCATGACGGCCATTGTGTTAGTATCTAGTACTTTGCCTTTGTTAATGTTCCATTTCCTGAGGTATCACGATAGGTATCAATGGGTGCCTCCATTGTTGAAGCCCCACTTTTCATAGCTCCCTGAAAGCGATTTGTTTGTGTCCCCTTGGAAGGTGGC